GCCATCTAGCCTGGGAAAAATCCAGGAAAGGCTTCTCGGGGCCGAGTTTGACAGCGACGACACAAGGAGTACTTCAGAGTGAAGCGAAAGCTGCACGACGCAGAACAAATGTTTCTTGAAGGAAAGGCAGGCATTGGAAGTACGAGCGGACAGCTTGAAACAAGACGCTCGTTATCAGCGTGTTCCCAAGGCTGTCCGGGCTAACCAGTCACCAAAATCCACGAGGAAACTATGGCCTACTTGGGTTCTGGCGATTTGAAAATTCAAATTTTCTTGCCATTGAAGCCCGATCGAGACTTTCGGCGGCCATATCGTAAAGTGGCGTGAAATCGCACAAAAAACAGCCGTGGGCAGGTAAACAGCGGCTCGCCTCTCGCCTTTAAAGCACCAATGAAAAGTAATGGAAGCACACACAAGGCTTATTGTTACTCTGTACTGGCCGTCGCGAAGCGATAGCAATTGCCTAATTTAAGAAATCAGAGTGAATTCGACGTGCACTCTAATACCTTTCCGATTTGGAGCCACCTCTGATTTGATGCGAACAATTGGGCAACTTGGAGGCAATGGGCCAACACAAAGGAATGGCTCATACCGTTCCGGTATCAAACCATTCCCTCTACCCCGTAGCAGTCAAAGGATAAAATAGCGTCATGTGCCACTGGTAGACGTACATGTGAGAGTTGGAAAAGCAGAGTGATGTCACGGTGATTGATGGTGACTGAATCGTTGCTGATTCCACTGAACATTTTTTCAACCTGAGGCACATGGGCACTGTTGACCTCGCAGCACTTGAGTAGATGCGTTTTATCAGAAACCACTACGTCCGTTGATTGACAAGTCATCTTGAAACGAAACAAGCAACAAGAGCCTGTACAAACACACCAACACGGCCCCACTCAGCATGGTCATTGTTGAGGCGAGGTCGAGAATGTTCGAGCACTCTCTTCACCTGCCTAGGGATACATCATTAGCACAGATCGCCATTTTTTACAATTTTTTAACATTTAGCACATCAACTTCTCCAATGGCTTCCACCACACGACAACATAAATGATTTGATAAGTTATATAAATTCGAACTTCAAAGTATAACTAATAAGTGACGAGGGCGCAGAAGGAGAGGAACAGTTGAACAAAGAAGGACACCAAAGAGCTGAGAAAGGAAGAACAAAGAACAGGCAGTGATGACAGTGGGGGTGAATCATGACCAACAATCTGAGACCAATATGATTGTACAGAACACACGCCAAAAGACCAAGGCAACCGCACCACCTACAAATCACGCCCTGACGACCCGGACTCTTGCGTGTACCACATACGATAGGTGTCACCCATCACACCAAACTCACACGTACACTAGACAATGTATGACATCAAACAACAGACTCTACAAGACACGAACCATGTATAATAAAACGTGACAGTAATAAGCGATCCTGACTTGTGTTACCGCTAAAAGTTGTATTAGAGGAGTAGACTGCAAAGCAACTTACTGGTTGTGCTCCACCATGTTAATGTGAGTGTGCAAGTCACTTGCCAGCAATAATGATCTCCTACAGCTGTGAGCCCTTGGGCGCCATTGCACTCTGTGGAGAAGTCTATGGAAAAGCACAATGAATGTGTGCTGCCCAACTAGAGAATTGGCCAGACTTCAAGAGTCTTTTGTCCTCTCATATGCTTCAGCAATGATGTGTGGTTCTATTCACGTCCTACAGTCAACTTCGCTTATACCGACTGCGGATATAACGACAATTCGCGGATAACAAAAATTTCACCCCTAAGGTCCATTTACTGAGATCATGGCTCAATTGTTAATGGAGAGGTTTTGCATTCCGAATTTCGGAATTATTTTCGAAATTTGGCGGCAGGAGTCGAAAATGTAGTTGAACTTTCGGAAGTGTGGTGGCGAAAATGCATGGTTTTTCGAAAATGGATTTTCGGCTCTTTCCTGTTTGGGAGCGCATACACGTATTTGAATATTTTTCATGTGTGTATTTTTGTTTTCTGCTGCTCTCGCTGATTATAGTTATTTGAAAATTTTCCACATGTGTAGTGTAGTATCCCTGCCCGACCAATACGGAAGCAGTACGGAACTAATACGGAGCTTTGCCTGATGTATATTGAGTGTATCTCCGTATGTAAGCGTACGGCGTCTGCTGCATAAAAGCGGCTGCGCATTTCTGTTTTGATGAAGATTAGATTAGATAGCAACGAAAGCTAACTCGAAGAAGAAGAAATCAACCTCTAGGTGAGCACCGGAGAGAAAGTTATTTATTTTCCCGCTTCTTCTTTCACTAATAATATCTCAGGTGTGTACCTGAAAAAAGTAGAATAAAACTAATTCTTGTTGAAGTCACCGCGCCTACCACTCGGCTACCTGTTACATTGGTGGCAGCGGTGGGATTCGAACCCATGACTCCGGAGAGACTGGAGCCTCAATCCAGAAAGTTCGGCTACCTATTACATTGGTGGCAGCGGTGTATTTTTAAATAAAACAACGCGATTCGACCCCAGACCCCCATGGCTCAACCCGCTGCAGCTCCGTGCAACGAATTAAGATGAGAATCATGTTTCTTGCCTTCCTGGGCTTTGCCCTGCTTATTAGCCCGCAGCACAGTCAGGGTGCTAGCATAGATCACCCTTCTCTACGCCCCGCACACACTGGAGACTCCGATAGCGATTCCAAGCAACCCGCTACCTACATGTATACTACCGGTGGTGATGGCGAAGCTGATGAGGACGACGACAGGCAGGCTGCTGACCAAGACAAGGAGGGTATTCCCCAAGACCAGCAGCGTTTGATTTTCGCCAGCACGCAGTTGGCAGATGGCCGAACCCTGAGTGACTACAACGTTCAGCAGGAGTACACTATTCACTTGGTACTTCGTCTCCGTGATGGGATGCAGATTTTCGTCAACACTCTTCCTGGCTAGATTATCACTCTTTACGACGCGCAAAGCGATGCTATCGACAATGTGAAGACCATGATTCAAGACGAGGAGGGAGGTTATTTGTCTGACGCCGAGCTAGCCGCTCTGAGTGACCGGCTCAACCAAGATGAAGATAAAACCTGGCTCGCCCTCCGCCGTAGCTCCAGCCGCCGCCGTGGTTACTAACGCTGATTCCAAGTATGGCATTTTCTTTCCTGTCTTCCTACAGTCTCCCTGTTCTCTTCAGTCTTCCTTTATGCGAGTGTGTGAATCCAGTTTAGTTTGGTAGGCGTCTGATCATGGTGAGCCACGGTTTACCCAGCTAACGTGGGACAATGTGTGTGACAACGCCCCTTATAGTTATAGTGTATTCAGTTCGGTTTTTGAACTGCGATGTTCCTGGCGGGTTGTGCCAGCGTTGTGCAGCAAGAGTGCTGTGGTTTTTCAGGTCCTATTTGGAGGACAGTTTTTTCCCCTTTTGACCCCGTGAGATCGTGTGAACCTGGTGTGCTTCTACTTTATGATTTGTTATCAGTTCATTTCTTCTGTCTACTCTAAACGTTATCATTTCCGATATAATTTGCCATCTTCCGGTTGACGCTGTGTTTGTAACTCTTCACTAATTTTTTGAAAAATTACGAGGGCGTGATTATCTGTAGGAAGGGAGGGTGTAGTATCCCTGCCCGACCAATACGGAAGCAGTACGGAACTAATACGGAGCTTTGCCTGATGTATATTGAGTGTATCTCCGTATGTAAGCGTACGGCGTCTGCTGCATAAAAGCGGCTGCGCATTTCTGTTTTGATGAAGATTAGATTAGATAGCAACGAAAGCTAACTCGAAGAAGAAGAAATCAACCTCTAGGTGAGCACCGGAGAGAAAGTTATTTATTTTCCCGCTTCTTCTTTCACTAATAATATCTCAGGTGTGTACCTGAAAAAAGTAGAATAAAACTAATTCTTGTTGAAGTCACCGCGCCTACCACTCGGCTACCTGTTACAGTAGTTTTGGTTTTTGCTGCTCTCGCTGATCTCGCCATGTTGACTAGATCTTCTCACACTCCATCACACTCTATCTTCCTTTGCCATGGAGCCTACTGACAGTACAAGACTGTAGTTCGACAACCTCGTCTTCAGCCGTTGGATCACTCGGTCCCCCATCAGTCCGTCCTCGTCTTCGAACCGCGCCCAGATTCAGTTTGACCTGCACATGGATTTGATCCTGCTCAGGCAACCCCTACATGTATTTTGTGCTCAACCCCTTTGTTCGCGGCTCTGTGGGATCCGAGGAGACTGCAAAAGTTCTAGCCTTGTCTGACCCAAAATTTGCTGGTATCACCAGGAAGTCCGTCAGAGAACACCATGAACGCACGCTGCTTCTGTTGGACCAGCACGCCTCAAAACCGAATATGCAAGATTCGGTTGTAAAACGTTTTCGGTTTTGGCGCCTTCGACTCAATCCATTTTTTTTGCATGGCAACCCTTGGAAATCGAATCAGATTTTCGGAATGCAAAACACTGAAAATGCCGTTTTTCGGCACGCACTTTTTTTCGGAAAAACAAAGTCGAAAAACATTCCGAAATTCGGTATGCAAAACCTCTCTAGTAGAACCACCATCATAATAAAAAGCCGAACTGCCAGGTATGAAAGCTTTTTTTCTTGGAAGAACAAACAAATCATGAAAAATTTCACTAATTATGTGATGGACAAAGAAGAAAAGGGGATAATAGTATAGCGGTTGGTGATAGACAATGATGGAAATTCAAAAAACCTAGTTATTGTACAGCTCTCATCAGGAAGAAAACATTGTTCGAAATAACACAAATTAGGCCGGAGGACTAATATTTTGAATTTCTTAAGTGAGAAATAACGCCTGTTTAAAGGCTCTCATTCGCACCCTGACACTCTCCTATCTCAACTCACTGCCTGCACCTTCACTTCCTGTGTTGTACCCCTCTGTACTCTCATCCTCCCTGTCCAATTGCCTATCAAGCCTGCTGCAACACTCTGTTCACCTCTTTGTTGACTGTATTCCTTGTTGTTCTGGAAATCAAATGTGTTTCTCTTCCAGGTCCTACATCAGGATGGGTCTTACGTGAAAACGATTGGTAACGCTGCTATCGGTGACTCGTATGGTGTTGCAGCACTGTCTCTGCCCCAGCATGGTATTTGTTATGCTGTAACCAATATCAATGACGGTTGTGTGAGAGTAAGTTAGTGCTTGTGTGGTGTTTATTGCTGAGATTTCTCAGAATTCTAATTTGATGGTTGCTATGATTAGTCCCAACATGGACTTTTTCTCTGTTCTCACAGCAGAGCAAGTAAATAGGTACAGCATTTGTTTCGTATCTGTACGTGTGGTGCGAAAGGTGCCATATATTTTTCTAAAACTCCTCCTTTTCCCAACACAACACCAGCACAACACAAAAACCTCTAGGAGAAAAAATTGTAGTACAGATAATGCAAGTTAGCAGTGAAGAGAGAAAGAGAAGAACAAGAGGAAGAACAAAATCACCAGCACTTAGTCCAGGAAAAGACACATGGAATAAGGCATACAAAAGGGCGGCAGAACAACCAGTAATATCTCGTCGTGGCTGAAGCAGCTAATGCAACGACAGCCACCACGAAGTGCATGAAATAGATCTGAACATGAAGTGAAGAAAACAGCAACTCCAACAAAGAAACAAAACAAGATCAGCTACGTGACTAACCACAGCGTAAACAGCATTCTGCCTTTGAAAGTGTCTGCATTGATATTCACCATCACCATTGTGCGCTGTAGCCGATGACACACATCTACTCACTTGCCCAATACAAGGCACAAGAGGTTTCTTCGAGCATTGAGGTTTTATTCCTTCTGGCAGATGTTTTGGTCACTAAGTCTTCATCAGAGAAGGTTGAGTTGTTGAATGACTTGAAAAGAAACAATCACCTAGTTTATACTGACTCTTCCATGACTGTATGAACGTGAGCTAAATGAGACATGCGCTAGAAGAGAGAGCCGATGGTGCAGTGTAGATAGGGAGAGCATGGGGTTGATGCCAGGTGAACTACAAGTACTAGCATGACTGCTGTATCCGTGCTGTGTTGCAGTATCCGGCAGTAACTATCACCTCTTTGCAGAGTGTCCCATGATTTCAGAAACCGGTTAACATTTTAACACCTTGCATTCACACTTCGAGTATCAAGTGCACGCTCATCAGCGCACTATCTCTCATTTCAAGTGCCAATATAACATATTTTAACGAGTGGACGGTTCGACGGACATCTCGTGCACTCTAGATGGCAGTAGTGAGTTAGGCAATTGAGAATTCAAGTTGGCAGGGAAATTGCGAGCTCCCATGTAAGGAGCAACACACATTTACCCAAGTATCACTGAAGTCGCACCAACATCTTCTTCACAGTATAAACTAGGCGACTATTTCTTTTCCAGTCATTCAACAACTCAAATTTCTCTGACGAGGCCTTAATGATTGAAGCAATTGTCAGAAGGAATAAAACTTCACTGCTGGAAGGAGTCTCTTGCTGCTGTTGTGTGCAAGCGAGTGGATGTATGTGGTCGTCCACAGAGTGTAATAATGGTGGTAAAATATAAATGTCAACGCAGCTACCTGACTATCCGCAACAAAGACATAAGCAGTGACATGATCAGTCACGCTCGAATTCCGCATGCAGCCTTGCAGGCGCTGGTAAAATGGATAACACGGAAAGCACGAAAATTAATAACACAAGCGATCGTGGCAGGGAAACAAATAAAATTCAAATAAACTACTTCAAAGAATGATGGAAAGTGAAACGACTAGCACTAAAATGAGAACAGAACTCAGACCAAGAACAATGGAGGCCGAGTGGAAGCAGATAAGGATTGGTCTGGCCATGCCTAAAGTGATTATGGGTCATATAAAATCTTGTAGGACGCATCACGCAGCTTCATAAGACTAGTAATATATTGGTTGTGAGCAACACTGGCTCACAACCAATCTTTTATGGTTCATATAGTTAGTCAATCATACACCACTGGAACAACGGCCAAAACCTGGCACTTACCCAGTATGAGTTTGGCTGTGAGGTTGTATCGAAACCACGGAGTAGAAAAACAACGGTTTTACAGTCGAAATGGTTCATTGACCCGGTTATTTAAATGCAATTGAAGCCTGTAGAAGTCACATCTTGAACAGTCAGACGAGCATGTATGCACGACTGTTCAAACGCCGAGTTTGGGTAGACAGCCACTGCTGACAGGGACATTTTGGCAGAACAAGCAAAAACAGTAACCTCCCGGGTACGACGGGCTTTTCGAGTGCTCCAGACGCAGTCGTGAGTCGGTTAAGTGTCAGGCCAGGCGACAGGAAGCGCGAGCTCCGACATTGGGAGAATGCAGTTTCTTCACAAATGTACCGCTGACTCATTGTCGTAACATCTTAGCTCGACTTCCTACACACTCCTCAAAACATTTCCTACCACTCCTCAATGGCTCAAAGACTTCTAAACACTCTCTGACTAACGCTTTAGTGCTCGGGATCAGCTATCAGTTGATCGACAGTTTTTCTTCCATTTTCGATGTGATGTTTCCAAGAAAAAATATCTGGGCCAAAAAGTTGGTCCGGCCATGGCTGGATCGTACAGACCAGTTCCGCCTGCCGTTAAATTGAAGCAGACTACGGATGACGCTGCATTGAAGTAAGAGGCATGACACACTCATGATAAATGGCACCACAACAAATACTTCCTCCTTTAAGCAAAACTTCATTGCGTTTTTACAGTTCAGTCCGAATCATTCTATGGCTATGAACACGCTTTGCAAAGTGGAAAACAATTCAGCATATGAACGATATTTACTTGCAGATGTCACACCGCTCGTTTAAAAGCAGTCCAGCTTCACTCTTCGTCTCAATCTGATGACAACTCACTCCCTGATGACATTGAGTCTGCATCCTCTCTGACTTTCGCCGCCAGCGCTGCAATCTTTTGTTCCGCAGCCTTTACAAGTTTCCAAGACACGATTATTTTGGTCGTGGAGATCGCCAAGCTCTTCGCTCGAAATGTGAGCTTGACAACCTCAACGGTGGCACTGGTAGTTGTGGCCACTCTCCGGAATGCCATGAAAGGAGCCATACAGACCCAAACAAACGCTCACCATCTTCACAGCTGTGTAGTCGTGCCAGCACGTTTCCACACCCTGCAGAAGCTCCTTTCTGGTTTCTTTCGCCACGAGTGACACGTCTGTCTACAGGCTGTGGAAGAACGCCAAGCCGTAGACGTTGAGATCAGGATTTTGCGCCGACTGAACAACAACCTGAATGTCGAATGCTTTTGATTTCCCCCGCGCTGCGAACACAAGTGCATTGATTTTGGCTGTGTGCGGATGCGAACCATCGACTCAGCCTGAGCGCTGGCCGGCTCCTGGACACTTCTTCGAGCCACGCGTTCTTTCAAACTGTTTCTCATTTTCGCACTTTGGTGTCATGCGCGCTTGCCTGGGGTTGTGTTCTGGTGACATCCTGTCGAGAAACGGTTCTGCTTCGCCGATTTTTTTTCAAAGGACTCCACGCTTTTCGGAGGTTCAAAAGATTGTCAGAACAATGGACGACAACCGTCAGCTACCCTATGTAGGGGGTAGATCACTGACATGTATGTCTAATGTCGACAGAAATTTCATTACAAGAACACTAAAAACGCAACGAAGTTTTGCTTAGCGGAGGAAGTACATATCACAATATTAGTTTCTACACATATTGACATTGTATTGTCAGAAACAGTCAGAAGAATGCTGATAGCTCTAGTGACATCCAACATACGGATATTTAGCTCATCATCACGTGTATGAGTCAATTTCTGTAATGACCAACTATCACCCAGAGGCCTAGCCAAAGCCGGCTCAGCCGGCAGAATGCCGGCTGGGAGGGCGACCTGCCGGCTGAGACAGCTCCAAGGGTTATTTTGGCCGGCTGGCAAACAATTGAGATTTAGAGAAATTTTCAGTTTCTACAAGTACAAGTATTTGTAGCATGCTGTGTTCGGGGATCATTTTTCTTTCAATCATGTCACCAAGCCCACTATCCTCCGCCAAGGTAAGAGTCGACCACTGTCAGCTGTCAAAAATAGGTCCAATTGCTGCCACTACAATGTCCGAATAATCGTGGAAACAGAACGACCGGCACGGCGGCAGCAGCGAAGGCGGCAGCAGCGAAAACTACTTCCACTGTACTGGCACTGCACTACAGTGCACTGTACTTGCGTAGATCATAAGTGCACTGCACTAGCACTTGAGTCAGTAGATCTACGTAGCAGTGGCTACTCAGGCTCAGTGCTAGCTCTTCACTCACCCTGAAATGCACTTGAGTACATGTACGTCGTTGGTGGTTCGCTGCTTCCGGTGGGTACACGGCTGTGACACTGACAGCTACAGACTCTGGACTGTCATATCGTGGGCCATTCGTGGCTAGGCTGGGTCTGGGTCTTGTGCATGCTGCATTTCGGAACACATGACCATCGGCATTGTACACTACTCCAGTTGTTTTGGCGGACCACTCAGGCACTGGGTTGCTTTAGTTGTGGCACTTCAAGTAGTTCCTCCACGTTGTTTTAGTGAACACATGATCCATACTGATGTAGCTGGTTGTTTCCTTTTTCATATTAATTATTTTTGTTAATTTACCTATAATCACAATGTCATTGTCACAACTGCCTGATAAATGTCCATAATTGGACGAAGCGAAAGGAGATGCAAGCTGCAGTGAAAGATTTGTAGTGGTGTGTGTGTGTGTGTGGATATGTGACTGATGGCGGGGGTCTGGGGGCGCAGCCCCCAGAACGATGCATTTTCACTAGAACGTTGGCGCCGGCTGGCATAAAATCCTGGCTAGACCTCTGATCACCTGCAAAATTTCCAATTTCATTCAAGTTTGATCTCTTTTTCACTGGTTGGCCTACATCACCCTCTATGATATTTTCGCAGAGGGACCCTCCGTTCATTGGCTATTGGACAAAGTCAAATATCTGCCTAAAGTATGCACTGAAACAAGGAACAAAAATTAATGACTTGCACAAAGATCTGAGCCGTGAGTAAGACAGAGCAACTCTCACCTAGCTCAGTACACCCAGCATGCAGCAGTTATTGTGACTGTTAACACCGATGGACACGAGTCATAAAGTACAGTCCATGTGGCTTTACTTTTCTGAACTTTCTACTAGTTCTTCTCAATTTAA